AACATAATGAATTCATTTATACTTATAAACACATTGTCTCTTTTGCATTGCAACATCCGCGACAGAAAATGGGGACATGTTTGTTGACCAGACCACACACTAGAAGGTGAAGGGACGACGACGTTTCGGTCCGTCCTGGACCATTATCAAGTCTATTCGACTTGAGAATGGTCCAGATAGACCATTCTCATCATCGTTTATCCGATGAGAAACGTCGTCGTCGTCGTCCCTTCACCTTCTAGTGTGTGGTCTGGTCTATTTACTTTAGCCACGTTATTGTGACTCGTCGCCTGCATACGGGGACATGTTTGACAATAGTGACCAGAAATCAGTCAGTAGTCTACCAAGGGCATCACAACGAGTCAAGTTCCTCTCTAAAAAGCTACGCGCACACATGGGTAGAGAACACTTTGAGAAATAACTATATATATTTCTCAATGCGTAAATTCAGGAGGAATCACCCGTTGCAGCTTCTCGGGTGATCCTGGGTGATAATAGCAAGTGGCCAAGTGGTAACAGGGAACACCGCCCTTCCCAGTTGTGTGAAGCAGGACCTTGACTGACGCTAGTTCAAGCGGCGGCTCATGACCAGGGAACATTTGCATGCAAGTGAGATCGGCGTTAAGAATGTAGGCCCAAGTCCAAACAGTACTAGGACTTGTGGACTATTTCACATGTGTACTCTCCAGCACACAGTAACCAAAGTTCTCGGTGACGAATACAGGAATGATGATGTGTGCTCAGCTGGAGGTGGAGCGAGTTGACCAAGAACAGTGGTGTAGCTGGAGGTGGAGCGAGTTGACCAAGAACAGTGGTGTAGCTGGAGGTGGAGCGAGTTGGCCAAGAACAGTGGCGTAGGTGGAGTGAGTTGACCAAGAACAGTGGCGTAGCTGGCGGTGGAGCGAGTTGGCCAAGAACAGTGGTGTAGCTGGCGGTGGAGCGAGTTGACCAAGAACAGTGGTGTAGCTGGCGGTGGAACGAGTTGACCAAGAACAGTGGCGTAGCTGGCGGTGGAACGAGTTGACCAAGAACAGTGGCGTAGAAGGTGCATGGTGCAGCGGGTCATCCTTCTTGATGCGGTCGCTCACAGGGCGGCAGAGGCATGCAGCTGTCTTGGCCTAACTGGCACAGGCGGCAAGGACCTGAAGATGGTGGCAGGACTGTCCAGGTGGCACCAGCCCAGCAGACAACCTACAGGATAACGGCTTACCTTTTTATGAGTAAGAAGGCTTCGAGCCTTCGAGCCTTCCATCCTCGAACTCCATGAGGCTTCGAGGATGTGTCTTCTTTCACTCGACTGATCAGGTTCACCTGGATTGTACCTGGATGGGGTTCTGGGAGTTTTTCTACTCCCCAAGCCCGGCCGAAGGCCAGGCTTGACTTGTGAAAGTTTGGTCCACCAGGCTGTTGCTTGGAGCGGCCCGCAGGCCCACATATCCAATACAGCCCGGTTGGTCCGGCACTTCTTGAAGAAAACCGTCCAGTTTTCTCTTGGATGCCCACGGTTGTTCCGGCAATATTTCTTATGCTCGCTGGGAGGACGTTGAACAACCGCGGACCTCTGATGTTTATACAGTGTTCTCTGATGTGCCTATGGCACCTCTGCTCTTCACTGGTTCTATTCTGCATTTTCTTCCATATATATAGGTCATGCTAGACAGGCCAACATAAGAACTGCCTTTAGAAACTTGTGTAAGGACTCGTTCAGGACCTTATATGCCACTTATGTCAGACGGAGCATGACATACTCCAGGCCTGGAGTATGTAGCTCCAGCCTGGTGTCCATACCTAGTTAAACACAAAACAAAGTTAGAAAAAAATCAGAGGTATTCCACCACAGACTAGTCCCAGAATTGAGACGTATGAGCTACGAGGAAAAGCTACGGGAGCTAAACTTCATGTTCCTAGAAGACAAGAATAAGGGGAGACATTTTCACCACCTACAAAATTTTCAGAGAAATTGACAGGGTGGACAATGACCAACTATTTAGCATGGATAGAACACGAACAAGGGGACACAGGTGGAAACTGAGTGCCCAAATGAGCCACAGGGACGATAGAAAGAACTTTTTCAGTGTCAGAGCTGTTAACAAATGGAATGCATTAGGCAGTGATGTGGTGGAGGCAGACGCCATACTCAGTTTCAAAAGTAGATATGATAGAGCCCAATAGGCTCAGGAATCTGTACACTAGTTGATTGACAGTCGAGAGGCGGGACCAAAGAGCCAAAACTCAACCCTCGCAAGCACAACTAGGCGAGTATATATCTGTAATAACGGTGAAGGCAGGTGTGCGATGCTATTGTATCCAATATTTTAGGACACAATAACAGTGATATCCATAGGATATCCATAGATATCCATTTAAGATATCGAAACAGTTGATACCTGGTTGATGGGATTCTGGGAGTTCTTCTACTCCCCAAGGCCAGGCTTGACTTGCGAGAGTTTGGTCCACCAGGCTGTTGCTTGGAGTGTGGCGGAGTCCTGAATGTTGTAGTTGAGACAGTGCCAAGGGCTGCCATCAGCGTGCAGGCACTCAGAATGTGAGGCTTTATGCGCGTGGAGATGCACCAATTAAGCATTAGCGAGCAAGATTATATGGTTCAATGAGAAAATCCACAGAAGCCGTGTAGTGGATTCGAACCTGAGAGCGTGCGTCTGGGAATAGGTTCGAATGCTCATCACAGCTCCTAAGGATTTTCTCATTGATATATATTACGTTAATGTGATTTTTCTGTGCAATATATGCGTCAACGCTATTGGTTGTACAGGACCAGGCATGCAGGAGGACCTGGCTCCCATCCTGGGGCGAGTAGAGGGGCGGCCCAAGCGTTCCTACCCTCTGGAACACCATACCCTGTAGGTTACCCCACAGAGCATCTAATCCCCTCGTAATAATTGCATAAGTTTAATAATATCTCAATGATAATTCTTGGCATCATGATCAGGAAAATATTACTTATTCAAGTCAATTGACTCTGGTGATAATGGTGTGGGTCTGGCCATAGCCATGCCTCTGGTCGTGAATATTTAATACTAAGCATAACGTTGCATTTAATTTGCATATGTTGAATCCTAATATTGCAAGAGCAAACATTGTGAAGAGGAAAATTCACCTCGACACAACTAGCTAACAGAACAGAAAACTACAAGCAAAGGAGATTGTCTTGGGAATAAGAAAAGCAAAACACAGATGAAAGATAAGTTCAAGCAATGATGGAACTCTACGAACGGAAATACAAATAAGAGGTAAGGAGAGATGCAGACCACCACTAAGAGGCAAGAGGAAGAGGCAAGAATCCGTTAAACTGAAGACAGGAGAGAACCAAGACATGCAACATGATACATACATGTATACATACATGTATACATACATGTATACATACATGTATACATACATGTATACATACATGTATACATAGAGTAATCACACTAACGTGACTGCGTCAGTGAGAAAATCCGTTAGAGCCGTGATCAGGGTTCGAACCTATTTGCCGGGTGTTCCCACGCGCACGCTCCGGCCTCAGTAGAAGTCTCAGGAAATCCTTGTGGGGTGGTCAGTAGAACTTCAGGTTGCAATCCTTTTGACCATGTCGCGGTGTAGTCGCTACCGCGTGTGCGTGGGAACACCCACCACATAGGTTCGAACCCTCATCACGGCTCATACGGATTTTCGCATAAATGTATTCTGTTGCAGAATACACTTATTCATTTAATAAATGAATAACTGCATTCATTTATGAAATGAATAACTGCATTCATTTAATAAATGAATAACTGTATTCATTTAATAAATGAATAACTGTATTCATTTAATAAATGAATAACTGTATTCATTTAATAAATGAATAACTGTATTCATTTAATAAATGAATAACTGTATTCATTTAATAAATGAATAACTGTATTCATTTAATAAATGAATAACTGTATTCATTTAATAAATGAATAACTGTATTCATTTAATAAATGAATAACTGTATTCATTTATGAAATGAATACGTCAACATCAAACGTCAATCAGAAAGCAAAATATGAAAGTTGCACTGCATTCAAAATTTAGGACCAACCTATGTTACCCCACAGCAAAACTGGCAGGAACATTTCAGTGACTGACTAAAACCGAACAAACAAACAAACAAACAAACAAAAAACAAGTAAATCGTTGAGGAAACAGTTGTCAGCAACCGTGGAAGATGTTCACCACTAAACGCAGACATCTCCCAAGGAGGTAAAAGAGAAGGTGACATCTTAGACTGACAACTGCGTCAGAAGTAACGAACGATCCAATAACCCCATAATACCCCTAGTTACAGCCCCGCTCCTGTGCCAGGTAAGTCCACTACGGGCTCACCATAGACCGTGCTACTTGCAACTTTTTGTTCCCAGTAGCTGACTCTGAAACAACAACAACAACCCACATTTCTAATTTCAATCCTTCCCCCCTACCCCTGGGGATAGACGACGACATGTTGTCTGTCCAAGTATCCCCAGATAACATGTATCCACAGTATCTGTGGATACATGTTTATCCAGGTATTGCCAGATAACAGGTATCCATCTCTCTCCAGGTACCTCCAGGTATCCCCAGATATCTCCAGTTATCCCCCAGATATCGCCAGGTATCCCCAGATATCTCCAGGTATCCCCAGATATCTCCAGGTATCCCCAGATATCTCCAGGTATCCCCAGATATCTCCAGGTATCCCCAGATATCTCCAGGTATCCCCAGATATCTCCAGGTATCCCCAGATATCTCCAGGTATCCCCAGATATCTCCAGGTATTCCCAGATATCTCCAGGTATCTCCAGATAACAGCTATTCCGAGATATCTCCAGATATCCTCAGGTATCTCCAGATAACAGCTATTCCGAGATATCTCCAGATATCCCCAGATAACACAAAATTAATAAGGAGAGTTATGACTGAAGAAAACTTCAGAATTTGAATAAAATTCTAGCATACATGGACCTTATTAAGGAAGCCTTCAGAACACAATGCTGAATGTGTACGCAGTACACATTCAGCAGTTTGAGTACGCAGGTCCGGCTTGGAGTCGCCACCTCGAAAAGGATGTAAGGAAACTTGAGCAGGTACGGAGGTTTGCAAGGAGGCTTGACCAGACCGACTGTGGGGGTTCGATACGAAGAATGATTGAGGGAGGTGGCCATGACAATGCTAAAATAGTAAGTCTTGTGATATAAAATACTTTTGGAGAATTTACAATGGAGGAGGTATGTTTTTACAAGATAGAATGGCTGCCAAGAAAAACACAAGGATGAACCAAAGAAATGCGAGAAAATAGGAACGTTGAATAATGGAATCAATTGGGTTAGCAGATTGTAGATGTAAAATAAATCTACAATTTTAAAAGTATATGATATAGTAAATGTAAATGTTGGCCAGGAGTCGTACCATTAAAAGACTCAGCAGTTAGAAAGGTGTAGTCTAGGAGTTGAAGCACGTTCTTTCAAACTCCCTTTGGTCAGAACTGTGGTACAGCCTGACCATTCTTGCTTGTAAACAGTGGTTGACTGTTATAAGTTACAATATAATGTAATACAATTATAGGTGCTACAAATCACTAATAATTTATTTCTACTGGGGTTGAATAGCCGAGTGACGGGCTTATTTGTGATTTCAAGTCAGGGGAAAAAGATTAAATAAACTCTCCAGGTAACACTGATAGACTGAATAAAATTCCTTGATTGGAGGTGTTCTAAAAATCTTTATCAATCGGGTGATCAGAAGGCGTTGCCATCGTTCCAGTGTCAGGGAATTGACAATTTAATTTGGCAATCATTAGGATTGTTGCATGACTGGAGCTGTTCACCGAGGGTTGCTAGGTGATGTGGGTGTCAAATGGCATAACGGGTGTCACACCCCGTCCTCGACTCAAGTTCATTCCATCCAGTGGTCGATCCCAGAGGGATCGATCCCACAGAAAATTCATAAATTTTTATATGCTGTTCATTTAAAAAAGGAATTTTCTCAAATATAAATTAATATCATATATTAGCATAGTGTGCATATTGGCATAGGTTAGGTGTTTAGGTTCTGTTGGCAATTATTTGTATTTGAAGTACGTGGGTGAAGCATTTACAGCGTTGTGGTTCGAACTAAATTCGTCAGCGAAGCACTTGTTCCGGAAGTGTTCGAAGGTCAGCAGTTGTCAGTCGTGTGTAACCAGCCCGTCCTCCAAACAAAGATCCAAAAGTGATTCCATCCACCCGCCAATCCCCATGTTTATGAATGAAAAGCAGTTTACACACGACTCACAACTGCTGACATTCGAACACATCCGGAACATATGCTTCGCTGACGAATTTTGTTCGAATCACAACGCTGTAAATGCTTCACCCACGTACTACAAATACAAATAACCGCCAACAGAACCTAAACACCTAACCTAACCTATCCTATGCCTATATATACACAATATGCTAATATATTATAATATTAATTTATACTTGAGAAAATTCCTGTTTTGAATGAACATTATGTTAAAATTTATGAATGCGTCTGTGGGGTTGACCGCTGAATGTAATGGACTTGAGTCGAGGACGGGTTGTGTGTAAACAGTTTTTCATTCATAAACTGGGGGTTTGGCGGGTGGATGGAATCACTTTTGGGTCTTTGTCAGGAGGATGGGCTGGGTTGTCTAGTGTAGCTTCGATCAAACTATAGGAAACAAATGAATCCACAGAGATGCGTAAAGAACACTTTTCAACACTGAAGTCAGGAATGATGACAAGCACGCACGCGCGCGCACACACACGCGCGCGCGCACGCACACACACACACACACACACACACACACACACACACACACACACACACACACACACACACACACACACACAACCTGTGCTACAAGGAGCCGTGGCCAAGCGGAAAGCAAGCCCATCACAACAAGGAACACATGGAAGTAGGAACACAAGAGTTAAAGTACCAGGAGAAAGATGAGCAGGAATCCTGACTCCACGAAGATGAGTGTGATGATACAGTTGTAAATCAGGTGATAATAACCAGGACTGACTCACAAGTTACCTGATGGTAAAATGACTACCGAAACACCATTGATGGACATTTGAATATTCTTAACCCTCTCTTGGTCATAGAACTTAGCACTTCCTGACATCGGTGAATCGGAGGAAGATTTGTTGACTTAGCAAACAGTAGCGGTGCTGAGAGGAGTATGTCAGTATGTTACATACACGCAGTGAGTACTGTGAGGAGTATGTCAGTATGTTACATACACGTAGTGAGTACTGTGAGCAGTATGTCAGTATGTTACATACACACAGTGAGTGGGCACTTGACAATGGTCACGCCATTAAAGTAAACTACTTAAGTGTATTTAGTGATGAAATTAAACAATCCAGTGTTATTGTCGAGTTATTTATTACTGTATCCAGCATTTACTCTCCCTGAAGTGTATATATACACTCGTCAATTATTGATTGTAAAAGTCCCAATTAATGATAACTGTACCTCAGGATTATATGTATCAACAACTTGACTGATAAGGGCATAAAAAAGGCTGGTGAAAGACTACAAGAATAAGACTACAAGAAAGACTACAAGAAAGACTACAAGAAAGACTACAAGAAAGACTACAAGAAAGACTACAAGAATAAGACTACAAGAAAGACTACGTATTAGCAAAACCACAAGACAATAAAACCTGCATTATAAGATATGTCATAATTCCGGTGGTGAGGGTGTGGTGATGGCTGTGATGCGGGGGTGGTGGTGGTGAGGGTGTGGTGGTGGCTGTGATGCGGGGTGGTGGTGGTGAGGGTGTGGTGATGGCTGTGATGCGGGGGTGGTGGTGGTGAGGGTGTGGTGGTGGCTGTGATGCGGGGTGGTGGTGGTGAGGGTGTGGTGGTGGCTGTGATGCGGGGGTGGTGGTGGTGAGGGTGTGGTGGTGGCTGTGATGCGGGGTGGTGGTGGTGGTGGTTGTGGTGGTGGCTGTGATGCGGGGTTGTGGTGGTGAGGGTGTGGTGGTGGCTGTGATGCGGGGTGGTGGTGGTGGTGGTTGTGGTGGTGGCTGTGATGCGGGGTGGTGGTGGTGAGGGTGTGGTGGTGGCTGTGATGCGGGGTGGTGGTGGTGGTGGCTGTGATGCGGGGTGGTGGTGGTGGTGGTGGTTGTGGTGGTGGCTGTGATGCGGGGTGGTGGTGGTGAGGGTGTGGTGGTGGCTGTGATGCGGGGTGGTGGTGGCTGTGATGCGGGGTGGTGGTGGTGAGGGTGTGGTGATGGCTGTGATGCGGGGGTGGTGGTGGTGAGGGTGTGGTGGTGGCTGTGATGCGGGGTGGTGGTGGTGGTGGTTGTGGTGGTGGCTGTGATGCGGGGTGGTGGTGGTGAGGGTGTGGTGGTGGCTGTGATGCGGGGTGGTGGTGGCTGTGATGCGGGGTGGTGGTGGTGGTGGTTGTGGTGGTGGCTGTGATGCGGGGTGGTGGTGGTGAGGGTGTGGTGGTGGCTGTGATGCGGGGTGGTGGTGGCTGTGATGCGGGGTGGTGGTGGTGAGGGTGTGGTGGTGGCTGTGATGCGGGGGTGGTGGTGGTTGTAGTGTGGTACCTAGTCGCTTGGAGGCTGGTTAAGAGTGCCTGTATTCCTGTGACCACCAGGTATGGTGACCACCAGGTATGGTGACCACGTTAAGCTGATCCTCGCTGCTTCCCCAAGTGAAAATGACTAGTCATATGAGAACAAGAGAGGCAAGGGTATTTTTATGGTGGTATAGCCAGGTGTTTTATGGTGGTATAGCCAGGTGTTTTATGGTGGTATAGCCAGGTGTTTTATGGTGGTATAACCAAATGTTTATGGTGGTATAGCCAAATGTTTATGGTGGTATAGCCAAATGTTTATGGTGGTATAGCCAGGTGTTTTATGGTGGTATAGCCAAATGTTTATGGTGGAATAGCCAGGTGTTTTATGGTGGTATAGCCAAATGTCTATGGTGGTATAGCCAGGTGTTTTATAGTGGTATAGTCAAATGTCTATGGTGGTATAGCCAGGTGTTTTACGGTGGTATAGCCAAATGTTTATGGTGGTATAGCCAGGTGTTTTATTGTGGTATAGCCAAATGTTTATGGTGGTATAGCAACCCGTTCTCGCACTTTCTTACAGTCAATATTGACTTATAAAATACGTGCATATGTGACATACTTAACATACTAGTTTACCTTGAAAAGCTTCGTAGAAAACACCGACCTTACCTAACCTTCTTAGTATGTTAAGATAAGCATCTTATTGCTTTGTAATTACAATTATTACTTAACCCTATACCTATAACAGGTTAATTAAGTAATAATTGTAATTACGAAGCAATAAGATGCTTATCTTAACATACTAAGAAGGTTAGGTAAGGTCGGTGTTTTCTATGAAGCTTCTCAAGGTAAACTAGTATGTTTAGAATGTCACATATGCACGTATTTAATAAGGCAATATTGACTATACGAAAGTGCGAGAACGGGTTTGGTATAGCCAGGTGTTTATGATGGTATAGCCAGGTGTTTTATGGTGGTATAGCCAGGTGTTTTATGGTGGTATAGCCAGGTGTTTTATGGTGGTATAGCCAGGTGCTTTATGGTGGTATAGCCAGGTGCTTTATGGTGGTATAGCCAGGTGCTTTATGGTGGTATAGCCAGGTGCTTTATGGTGGTATAGCCAGGTCTTTAATGGTGGTATAGCCAGGTGTTTTATGGTGGTATAGCCAGGTGTTTTATGGTGGTATAGCCAGGTGTTTTATGGTGGTATAGCCAGGTGCTTTATGGTGGTATAGCCAGGTCTTTAATGGTGGTATAGCCAGGTCTTTGTGGTATAGTGTTACGACCCTCTCGGGACGCAACGGGGTTCTCACTCTGATGTTGTTAGAGGAAGATATATGTATCCGTTCCCAAGCCAGTAGTTGCTATCAAGGGATGAGATCCGTGACGCAAGTAACTTAAAAGGGAGTAGGGAAAGAAAGTTAAGAACTTAATATTATAATGTTCACCATCACCGTTTAAATATATAAAATAAATAAGTGCACAAAGGGGAGGGGTATTAACACTTTGCAAGGGGATTAATCCTCAATCGATGTCTTCTACTGAAGACGCTGGTGCCATAACTCTCGGTGCCTTCTTCGTGGCCTCACGACGTGTCCTCTGAGAATGCCGAGCCTACCCGGGCCACAGGTCA